ATATTTAGATATTTAGACAATTCTCATAATTTTTGCAAAAGGCTGTATTTCTCCAATAATATAAAAATACGCAGTCTAAGACTACATGTGGCTAGTGCTACAAAACATAAGTTTCGTTTTCTAAGCCAAACTCATGCAAATAAAAAAAAATTAAAACCATTCAATTTTTTAAAAAACTTAAACTTTAAACTTAAACTTAAACTTAAACTGTTAGAAAAAGTAGTTAGCAAAGTGTGTACACTGGTAGATGTCCAGTGTAATTTTCGGAGCGAGCCGTCCCGACAAGCTTATCAATTTGTCTCGCGTCTAAAATGGCCAAATCTTGCAAATTAGGATGACTTGTTCGGCAATATCGACTGGCATACTTACCTGGATGCTGAGAAGAAGAAATAATCTAAATCTGAAGTCAAGAATATCAGCAAGAGAACGACGTATAGCCAAGAAGTGCAGTCGATCGTGGCCAAGAATGTACCGCCGTTGGATTGAATATATATAAAGCGAGTCAACAATGGTTGGTTTTGCGAAAGCGTTTCATAACTTCCGCTGAGTGTTTCGATTCTTGTATTTATTTTATTGATAGTATTCTCTACCTTTTAATATAAACACTGATTTTCATTTAGCAAGTCCTTTAAATACGTTTTCTGGCGATATTATCGTTCTTTGATATGAAGTGCACCGTAGATGATTGTATACAATTGTTCAAAATACACTTGACGACTGCTCGAAAATTCGTTTGAATTTTGTTGAATCAGCAATGATAATAGAGTCAATAAAAGTGCAAAAATATATTAAGATTGCATATTGATGTAATTATAAGTAATTATTCATATTCCATGGACATCTATTCTAGGTATTCGATCTTTGAAATTTGTGGTTTATGTAAAAAAGAAAAATACTTAATTAAATCATCAATACAATTTATAATTTTATTATAATCGATTATTATATTTTAAATTATAAAGTAAAAACTGTCTAAAAATACATTATGATTATATAGACTCAGTAGCTCAGTAGAGAGTGAGAAATGACTTCACATAGCATCCCACATGGTTGAGAAGACTTTATTTTCGTAGTATATATTTTATGCGGTGCTGAATGGGTAACAGGACATTTAAACGGGTATACGAGCGGACAAAAGATTAGCAAGGGAGGGGTGGTTCAGGGCAATTGTAGATACAGGTGAGAGAGGGTTAGTGAGTTAGTACAATATTAGTGACGTCATCACACAGGAAGCCCAATATGATAAAACACAGGAGTCCCAACTTACACACGAAAAGTTACGAAAAGTTCGCGAAGAATAACGAAAATGAATCGGCGGAAAAGCGAGTAGTTACGAAGTTATTCCGAATTACATTCACACTCACTCCAGGCGATAGCATAGTGGCTAGAGCCTCGTTTCGAGGCACTAGCCACAAAAAGTCCCAGACAAATTATTATATCTTTTTAAAGCCGACCAACCTTTCCTCTAAGTCTGGTAAATTGAGAAATTATGTTCTTACTCGCAGAATTGTCCACATTTTGACTTCTTTCTATGGTTTTAAAAATGAGTCTACGAAGTCAAARTTTACATCCAAATACATGTTATTACTATCTGTCATTTACAAKTATGAAGTCGATTGATGTTTTTATTTGCTTTTTAAAAATGTTTCTGACAAGTCATATTCACGCGATGTTTTTGTCAATTTTTAGCCATTTATCGTCAGTGTCGGGGTTTCTAAAAGTCTCACGTTGAATTTGCCATGGCAATCTACTTGTATTGTTCGAGTTGTTGCATGTATTGTATTATGTATTGTTACTACTCAAGCTACATGTAGATGTTTTCCACTTAAATGTTTGTTATTATATAAGTTACACAAGCTTAGTGCTGTTTTTGCTCACCACGTGCAGTAATTTAATAAAAAAATGTCTAATGGTCACACATATAAACTGAAAAATGTTCTATTGCAATAGTACTAAATAATTAATTTTATTTCACAGGTTAAGGAGAAACACAGTTTATATTGTTTGAGTTAATGGTTACGTACATTGTTATTGCTGCACTTGTAAAATGCTTTTCGGTTAATTTCAAACTCAAAACTATCTACAAATACTTAAAAATAAAAAATTACGTCACATACACTATCGTACTTTTGTAAATTTGTATGTAATTTACAAATAAAGTACTTGTTTAATATTCTCACACTAGTGGTGTTAAGGCTAATTTTAAAGTTCCAAGTCCAACACAAAACCAAAAATAAAAACGTTGGAGGGGTTCAACGCCTCAGTTCAACGCTTTGTTCTTGGTCAATGAACCTGCGTATGGAAAGTCGTGAATATCCAGTCATGCATATACATTATCAGTTTATTCAGGTGGTATAAATGTAATCTAAATCTTTTGCTGGTTATAAAATCACTGGCAATACCATCACCGGTAGAGCGTAACAGGTAGGAGTTTCCGACACTATTTATGCGACTTCTGAAAATTATTATAACCAGAATCACCTGAAAAGATTTCAAGTTCAACAGCTCCTTTAGCGAACGACATTAAATCGTTGATAAAGAGGTAAGTTTTTTCCTTGAAATCTTACTTAGTTCCAGTGRTGATTYCGAGATTTMWAAAAAATGTCGTCCAGATATTCAACTTTTTTGCTTTTAATACATGAATGCTAAATAATTCTGCTTTAATTCAAATTTGAAAGTTTCGAACTACTCCTAGTTCCAGCTGACTAGAGTTTTTTAGAATTCTCCAATCAATCTTACTTGCTCATCATTGTTTTTGAGACAGTTGATCCGTACTTTGGTGTGTCAAGGTACATACACTAGGGCTTTACCTAAGAAAACACGCTGACCATAATAATACATAATATTATATAATTATGAAATTAGAATAAATTGAAGAAAAAGCCAAACAACTTTTGTAACTAAGTTTCCACTCTTTATTTTATATGTATATGTAAAAACACTCAGTTTGCTGAAGAAGGCCTAAGTGCCGAAACGTCCATAATACGACAGAGTTTTATATCTTTAACTTTAAGTTGGTGTTTTGTTTAATTGCATTCTACGTCGTATTATATGTATTTTATATATCTATGATTACATTCTCATTTCAGTACGTCCACTGTTTCACTGCTATAGTATGTTTGGGATAAAGACCGCATTGGTTGTTCTTGTCTTGGTGTGTGTGGTAGTGTTGGACCAGGTCTACACCTATCCTATCAAAAATTCAGAAAAAGCTCCAGACACGGCCAAAGATTCAGAAAATCTGAAAAAAGGATCGGAGCTGGACGTAAGTCGTCCCACACGCACTTTTAAAACACTTTGGAGATTTTACAGCAGTCTTTTTCTCTGACTCTTAATTTCTTCAAACATTTTTTTTTTCTTTTGTCTTTTGTTTTTGTTTTTT